CAAATAGATCTTGTTTTTCTGCTTCTCCGTTTCTTTTTTCCAACTAAATATACTACCTTTATGAAATGTGGAAAAAAGCTACTTTAAATTTATTTGATTGAAAGTGCTCTAATTAAATATAAATTTGGATGATGAGATGAAAGCTTGAGGAAAACGGATAAATCTTGATGTGTTCTCTGTGTGTGCTTGTGCTTTTTTTTGAAGTTTATCAAATTTTAAATAAAACCTTTATTTCTAATTATGCTAGATATGAGTAAAAAGGAAATTAAAAAGAGAGAAAATTGATTCTTTTCTTTGATAGGCAAAATCGAACATTTTAATCTTTTATTTCATATCTAAAAGTAAATTCATTTACATTTTATTAAAATAGATAAATTTGAAATTGATAATATGCCGTAAATATGTAAATAATATGCAAATATCATTCGCGAACATTACCATTTCTCATTAATTTTAATCGAATTCACTTTGGAGTTTCAAAAACCTGTGTACTATTTCTTTAAAATAGCAAATTTCTTTTGAAACAATGAATAATTGGTTCGGAGTATTGGACGCAAGAAATGCTTAATTTTCTTAAGCTTACTCTAGCTGCTCCATTGCAAAAACTGAGGCATTGCTGCGGGACACCACTGAAATTTCAATAATTACTTAATAACAAATTCAATTAAAATAATAACAACAATGGAAAATAACATTTAATGGGTCGAGCTAAAATTTGTTCATAATTTAAATAGGTGTAAAATTAGAGAGGAAAAAAATTTTGAAATTGAAGAGTTAGCTTTGATTTAGAAATCTGATTCGTGCAAGAACGTTTCTGAAATAACTTACCGTTGAAAGCAGCATGATCTTTGATCTTTCATATTTGTAGCGCATTTCCAAATTTTGTTTAATTGTAAATTGCAGTGCATGGAATTTCTCAAAAACTGTAATGGGGGAATACAGATAGAGAAAGATAAGTAGAATTAAAACTTTAGAGAGAGAGAGAGTAGAAGTTTTATTAATTATTTCTATGTAAGGAACTTTCATGGAAGGTTTCGCAGAGATTTTAAACATTTGAAGATTGTAATTAAAATTACCATAGGACGTGTCATACGAGCGACACCACTTAAACTGCACAATGTATTTGTGCATTCGTCATCAACACTTTTTTCAACACAACACGCCCGAAGCTTGACATCAGCGTTGCTCATTTGTTGAAGTTCCTTGTCTCCCATTAGAGGCATTTGATCTGAATCATTTCCCCGTGCTAATGTCACCAAACTTGCTAGCACAAAAATGAAGACCGATCTGTTCATTTCTAAAATAGCGGAATGAACTATAAAAGTATAATTACAGATTGGCTTACGAGAATTTGGAAAGGCTGACGGCATATATTTGAAAAATGATTACTTCAAATTATAATTTGTTGTGAAAAGGAGTAATTAATAGTTGTCACTAGGATTCGTTTGAGAAAAGATGAAAATTAATCGGAATGAAGTTTCATTTTATTTAATCAATATAGTTGCACAGGTTATCTAATCAGCAATTCAGATATCACCAAAACTATATAATCAACAACCCGGAAGTTCGCCAAGTCATCCAAGTTATCAAAATTTGTCCAGATTGTCTAATCATTAATTCAGAATTTATCAAGACTATCTCGTAGCAATTTAAAAGTTGTAAGGATTATCTATTCAACGATTCAGATGTTATCCAGGTTATCCAATCAACGATTTAGAAGTTGTTGAAGTTATTTAATCAGTGATTCAGTTGTTACTCAGATTATCTAATTGAATAGCTCAAAAGTTGTCCCGGTTATCTGATCAACAGCACAGAGGTTGCACAAATCATCTAATAATCAGTTAACCATAGCTCTGGCTGGAATATTCAATAGCAATATAAGCAAGCAATATGAATGCGAAGCAATCGGAATAAATCATCGATGACAATTTTTGACCGATCACTTCGTTTCAATCTATTTATATTTCATTTTTCATATTTGTTCTGTAATTTTTAGTAGCATTTTTAGCGCCAAATATGACTATCTTTCCTGTTTTTCTACACTTGAAAGTATTATTTCTTCAAATGACAGTGAAAAAATTTGAATTTATTGCGATGTTTGATCCATAATTTATTGCAAAATTTTGTCATCAAGTTACAATCATGTGTTATGAGAGGGAGAGGGAGGGAGAGAGAGAGAGAGGAGGGGGAGAAAGAATCCTTGATCACTTTTATCTTTTTTTTATCTCCTTGATTTGTTCGAATTTTTTTGAGGAAAAATTTTAAATTTATGAATAAATTTTCATGCATATAAAAGAAATAATATTATTTTGATATTGACATTGAAATAATTAATGTAGTAAAGGGAAAAGTGGGAAAAAATTATGAGAAAAAATGATATGCAAATTACTGAAATGTAATGAATGGAATAATTTTAAACAAAATAAAATTGTTGAAATAATAAAAGAAAAAAAAATGAAAGTTCATTCCAATTTACATTAAAGCTTAAATTACTTTAATTAGAAAAGTATGGTAAACTGTGACAAAAAAGTATGTAATCATTTTACAATGATTACAAAATTTTTCCGTTGAGATGATTGTAATATTAATTGTAAATTAATAATCGTTTATTTCAGTCATTTTATTTTATTTCAGTTCAATTATAATAAAGTTTTAAAATTTTCCCGTGATTATTCATTTTATTTGTATTAATTTTTAAAAATTTTAATGATTAAAGCTAATTCAATTAACCTATTATCTTATCATATCCATTAAAATAATTTAATGTAAAAAACATTTCGAATTATTTTGACCTTGCAAACATTATTTCTTTGAAATGATCCATTTCTAATTAATACTATCTGATGCAATTTGGCATAGAATAATTTTTACATATTTAGCTTTCTACTTTTGCTATATATTCTAAATAAGCAATCGAAAAGAAATATGGAATAAGAACGAACAATTTTTTTGTCACTTATACATTTTAGATCTTATTTAGTTGTTATTATCAAAAAGTTTTCGTTTTTTTATTAATTTTTAATTTTATGCCAAATAAAGGTTATTTTAAATATCTTTTTGATTAAAATCACTGTATTTATTGAAAAGAATTTTTTTTCCCTTCAAAATATTCTTTTTGTTCTCATATATTAGTTTTAAATTTTTGAATTAAAAGGTTTTTGAATTGAATAAAAGAATTTAAACAAAAGAGGTTTTTTACTTTAAAAAAAAAAAATGATATATTAAATAATGGGAAGATGAAAAGATTACAGCCGTGAGAAGAAGAAGAGAAAGAAGAATGAAAAAATTAAATGAAATTTATAAATCCGGCTTAGCTTTTCTTTTTCCATTCATTTTTTTATGTTAACTTTAATTTAAATAAAGACAATATAAAAATAATATCAAGTTTTTATAAAGATAATATAAGATTTTTAAAATCAATTTCAATTAATTAAATTAACTTTAATTACAATGTTTGCTTCTTTCCTTATTAACTTTAATTTTAACGTTTCTTTTTTTTCTCATATTAACTCTAATTTCAATGTTTTTTTTCCCTCACTTTATATTATTTTTAATTTTTGTCAGTGCTTTTTTTACACGAAATTCATATTAATAATAATTTATGAACCATGAAATCAGCTAATTAAGTATACTTAAACCAAGTACTTAAACAATAATTAACAAATGAATGCGATGAAATTAGTTGATTTTAACAATGAATAACTTAATGCAAATTTATGGGAAAATAATCAGCTATTATGATAAAATACAACTGATAACTGATAGGAATACATGATTACATGGCAAAAATGAAAATTGAGAAATGATAACGATAAGAATGAATACACTTTAATCATCCTCCTTCAAATATACCTTTTTTGTTTAATCATTGAGGAATTTTAAGTAACATTTATTTCTCATTAATTTCCTATACAATAAAAAAATTTATTTCATTTCCAAATGTTTCTTTTTTAATACCCAAAATTTTCAGTAAAATTATTTTTAATTTTACATTAATTATGAGAAATAATAAATGTTACTGCATTACCTTCACATCCTTTTATTTTATTTTATTTTTTGCTTCTTTTTAAAATTTCTCAACAAATATTGAAAATCTTTTAAAATTTTAAAAAAGAATGGAAGAAAAATTGTATTTATAAATGAAAGATATTTATAGGTATATTTATAAGTATTTATAACTAAAATTTATAAGTTTATTTATAAGTAAAAGAAGTCATTTTTCCATAACTTATTTTTTCATTTTATTATTAAATTTAATTTTAACTAAAATTTTTAGCCTTTTTTTCCATTTTCACAATTTTTTTTTTTTTTTTTTTTTTTTTTGTTGTAGAAAAAAGTTTATTATTCTTGACAGATATTGGCAAATACCATCAAATATATATGTCGGGGTCATCTGTGAATCGATATTTGAAATTTTGAAAGACGGGAGCAATACCACATTCATCCACTTCCCCCGCTCTTCTACTCTTCCGCCAAAAACCTGTCATATGCTCTTCTTTCTTGACCTGTCACCATCCATTTTACCGATGTCACCATCTTCATCAATAGATTCCTTTTTTATCTATTGATGTTGTAATTATAAATATGTTGACAGTTATTTACAGAAATTTTCAAATTGACAACTTAATATTTTGATATTTAATTTAAATTAGTTTCAAAATTTTAATTGACTATTTTAATGTTCAGTTAATTTATTCATGCATCTAATTTCCTTATAGAATTTAACGTCTCGAAATAGTAATTTATCATCATTGAACTAATTACGATGTCGAAAATGACGTAAATGAAGAACTACATATGAAACAAATTCCAATCTTATAGCGTTATTCGAGATATCTCAGGTTAGTCTTTATGTTTAGCATTTATTCGATTCCTTTCTATTTTTAAATTCATTATCTAACTATTGAGCTAATAAATTTATAAAATTCCAAACTATCTAACTGTTTACTTCTTTATGTTATCAATTCAAACCTAACTTGTTTATTCATCAGAATTGATCATTTTGTTTGAATAACAAATAAAAATATGTGTATATATATAATTGTCGCAAGATCCATAAGCCATGTATTACATGATTAAAAGCCAGATAATTCATATCTCTAATAGTTTTTAATTAGCAAAATGAATACATTACTAATTTTGAAATATTAATGTAAATCGAAATGTTTGTTCTTTTTAAGCATTCAATTAAAATTATGCAAACTTTTGGTTATTCCTTTTCCTTTTTTCCCCTTTAATTTTATAAATTAAAAATTTTCCTTCATTG